TAAAAATGTTGGGTTACCTGGTCGGTGTACCAGTAATACGGAGTCGGGTCGATCTCCTCCCTCTTGTAGCCCTCCAGCAGCTCATCGGAGTCCCAGATACGCATCGACCCGCCGACGATCTCGCCGACGTTGGGCATCAACACGTCCACCTGCAGAGAGAAGATCTGGTTTAACGAAGCTCGACAGGAAGCAGTTCTTCGGGGAGTCCGGCTCGGGGGGAGCAGGTCGTACCGACTCGGTGAGGCGGCGGTCCTCGGGGCAGCGCTGCATGTAGAAGGACTTGATCTCTGCGGGGAAGCGGCAGAGCAGGATGGTCTCGTTGATGGTGTCGGTCATCAGCCTCTCTGGAGCTTCAGGGATGTCCTGAGAGACAAAACAAACTCTGAACCAGTGGTGAAATTTAGCTTCACTAACCTAAACTAACTAACTAACTAACCACTAAAGAAGAATCTCAGTTCCGTCTCAGGATAAAACCGCTAAACAGGTTAAAAACCAGGGGAAGCTAATGCTAAAAGCTAAAGCTGAGTTGACTGTCACCGTGTCTTCATCTCCTTCCTTTTGAAGTTTTCTATTGGTTTAATTCAAATGTGGGCGGGATCATTTGAGGTGAATTGACCAATCTGAACCAGATTTAAAGCTCTAACTAATTTGTGACACTTCCACTTCCCTTTCAGAATAAAAGCATTTCTTTGACCAAGTTTTTTTTAATACTGTTTAAAGTTAATCAAGCAAGTAAAACGTTTCTCTACCATATTTTATACAAAGTCAGTTTTAGTATTTATTTATTATTTTATTTTTGACGCTCTTATTTTGAAGTTTAGCTGCTAAAGATGCTACAATGCTACGATACATACAGCACTGCTTGTAAGAGTGGATCGTTTTTATTTAATTTGGGATAAATAGCATGAAAATGGAAGTTTTACGCTTGTAAATTAGCAGACTTAAAATTAGCGGAAGCTAATCGGTCTGCTAACAGTTTCCAAAGTTAGCAAACAAGCTAATTCACTAAATGTGAATCTAGTTCCATTATTAGTGGATTTGCAGTTTAGTGCTCTTAACTGTATTCTCCTGAACCCTGGAAGGTTGTGTTCTGTGTCACACCATCTGTGGGGGATGACCGTCAGCTACTACCACACCTGCTTTTAGCTCTTTTTCTATAAAATCAGCTGATTTATAGTATTTTATGTCTTTGCAGTCATTTGAATTTAGTTGAGAGATTTGGTTGTAGGTGAACATCTAATGAACACTTTCTGGATTTTTCATTAAAATTCTTAACGCATCATGAGYTATTTTGCTAACAAGCAGAGTGGGGCAACATTAAAGTCAACCTTTCAGCCTTGAACAACAACTGAAGCAACTTTGGAGGGCAATAAATGTTGCAAACCCGCAAACCTTTAATTGTCAACYTCGCCCTCTGCTGCTGATTTACACAACTACAACCTTTAAACAAAAATCTCTTGTTCAACCAGGTTTCAACACTTCCTGGAAGTTGACTGGCTCTTTGGATCAAACTTGATCGAATCAACTTCCTGTTTTGTGTTTTTTCTGGGTTTTTTTGTGTGTTTTTTTTCTGTTCTTTGTGTTTCTGCAGTGCACTGAGCTCTGCTAAACATCTGACCTGCTACAGACATTATTTCTATTTTTTTAAATTAAATCTATACAGTTAACAGCAGACTGACTCTGTCCTAATTCAAAATAATCTCAATAAATTGGTTATATTTTGTGTTTTTTTGTATTTTTCTTCTCATTTATGTCGTTTATCAGGGAGTCTGTTAAAGGTTTGTATGTTTTTGGTTAAATAAAGTTACTTTGTATTTAGGGATGTTGTGTTTATCGTATTTTTATTTGTCCGAAGTCTGTGTTTTAATAATTTCTATAACAGCCCAGACTAGTCTTGGGGGCTCGTCCGGGATAGAGAATGAGGAATTATTATTATAATTTTAAAATAAAACCCATTAAGGTTCCAAAACTTTAAAATGTTGCTCTTGTTTTATAGATGTTTAAATACACAGCTGTTCCAAAGACTGGACCAGTGACTGGGGGGGCGGAGCCTTCTCAGGTGTAGCTCTAATGTGATGCGTTCAGGCGTCACCTCTCCAAACTCGTAGTAGGTGCCGTCGTCCTTCTTGACGTCGTGCTCTCTGAGCCACTCGATGGCCTCCACGTAGTTCATCCTCTTAAACGGCCTCTTGGGGGGTTTGAAGTCCTGAAAAACAAACAAACAAACAAACAAGCAGCCATCAACATCATTAAAGATAATTAAAACGGAAGAAGAAAACCAAGCTAAATGTTCTGCAGGTGTGTTACCGGATTGAGGTCGTAGAGCAGCTGAGCAGCAGGAGATTTGAGGACTCGGTCCACCACGTCGCAGACCAGGTCCTCCAGTCGGTTCAGCAGGTCCTCGAACGTTATGAAGGGACACTCGGCCTCGATGTGGGTGTACCTGCAGTGACAGGAGGTCAGTTTTCTGAGTAAAAAAACACCTGCTGAGCGTCGGGTGGGCGGACTCACTCTGACAGGTGTCTGCGGGTCCGGGACTGCTCGGCCCGGTACGACTGGGCGATGCAGAACGTGTCGCCCAGAGCTGGGATGCAGGTCTCCAGGTAGAGCTGGGAGGACTGGGTCAGGTACGCCTGCTCGCCGAAGTAGTTCAGACCGAAGAGCGTGGAGCCGCCCTCCACCTGAGTCTGCACCAGGGTGGGCGGGGTGATCTGAAAAGGTCCCAGCATTAATTCATCTGAAACTCAGCTGGAGTAAACTCAGTGATCTTAACCCTGATTTCAAAATAAAGGCAAACAGGAAGTGATGAATCATTTTTCAACTTTATTTTGATCAAACTACATCTGAATATTTGAGTCATTTTACCTGTCAGATCTCCATATATTCATCAGCAGCAGAAAGTTTTCCAACTTCTATACTCAATATTTAAAAATATATGAAATTAATTCCACACAGAGATAACAAGAGCTCTTTTTAAATCCTTCAAAAAAAAAAAAAAAAAAAAAAAAAAAAAAACAACAACTTTGTTTGGCTTTTAGATAGAAATTGACTAATTTCAGCACCAGTTTTGTGAAAATCTGGCTATTTTAGCTACTGTTTGCTAATTTTAGCTTTAGCATATGTTTAATTATTTTAGCTACTGTTTGCTAATCTTAATAGCATTTGCTCTGTTATTTTAGCTACTGTTTGCTAATTTTAGTTTTAGCATATGCTTAATTATTTTTACTACTGTTTGCTAATCTAAGCTTTTTCTTTTGTCTTGTTATTTAAGCTACAGTTTGTTAATGTAAGCCTTAGCATCTTTCCTCTTTTAGCCACTGTTGGCATATTTCAGCTTTAGCGTTTATGTTAGCTACTGTTTGCTAATCTAAACTTTAGCTTTTGTTTTTATTTTAGCTATTGTTTGCTTATCTAAGCTTGAGCATTTGTTTAACTATTTTAACTACTCTGCTAATGTAAGCTTTAGCATTATATCCTCTTTTAGCCACTGTTGTCATATTTTAGTTTTAGCATTATTTTATGTTAGCTACTGTTTGTTAATCTAAGCCTTAGCTTTTGTTTTACTATTTTAGCTACTGTTTGCTAATGTAAGCTTCAGCATCTGTCCTCTTTTAGCCACTGTTGGCTTATTTTAGTTTTAGCATTTTTTTTTATGTCAGCTACTGTTTGCGTACTTTAGCACTCGTTTAGTTTTTTTAGCTACTGCTTGGTGATCTAAGCTTGACATTAACTCTGATATCTTAGCTACTCTGTTTGCTAATTTTAGCATGTGTTTTTTTAAGCTTCTGTTTGCTAATCCAAGCTTTAGCATCAGTTTTGCTCATTTTAGCTTCATCTTTAGCATACTCTGGTCTATTTAGAATCTGTTTGAATAATTTTAGGTATTTTTTGCTGCTTTTAGCCTTTATTTTCTGTTCGGCTATCTTCAGTTTGTTCCTGGGAGCGTCACCTCGTAGTAGCCGCAGCTGAAGAAGTGATCCCTGAAACACTGCGTGACGGTGGACCGGACTCTCAGGATCTTGGAGACGTTCTCTCCTCGGATCATCATGTGCCGGTTGTTCAGCTGCACGTCCACGTCCGACTCCTCGTTCAGCAGGTTGTCGGCTCCGCCCGCTGGAGCCAAGCCAATCAGCTCCCAGAAGTCACAGTGCAGCTCGTGGCCGCCGGGCGCCTGGGGGCGGAGCCAGAGTACACTCTCAGTTGTATTTGCAGTTAGCTATTAGCGATTAGCTTTAGATTAAGCTAATTTTACTTTCTTAGCTGTTTAGTGTTAGCTTTAACTCATTTCTTGTACATGTCTAACAGTTTAGAGTTGATGAAGCTATAGCTTTAGTTAGCATGGGTTAGCTAAGCTAACTCTTTGGTTAGCTGTAGAAAGGTTCAGCTGTTTGCAGCAGGTGAGTTTACCTGTTTGCCCTCAGGAACAGCGGTGACGGTGCCGTACAGAGCCACGGTGCTCTCTGTGGACAGGACCAGGCCGTTGTAGCACTGACACTGAACAGAAACACAAAYCCTGAGACTTCCACCTCTGGAGCTTTCAGACATTTAGAAAACAAGGTTTGAAAGCAGGAATGTACCAGTTTATCTGACAGAACACACTGCAGGAAGCCCGTTCCGTCTCGCAGCACGATGAACATCAGGTTCTTTCCTGTTGGACACAAAAATAAACGTGAGTGGATCCTCGACGTCGAACACCAGGAGGTGTTTCCTCCTCATCTTCCTCTTCCTCACCCTGCCTCCTGAGGCGATGGACCCATCCGAACACTTTGACCCTCTGACCCCTCTGAGCCTCCAGCCGATGGATTTTAACCTGAACAAACAGACCGAAGGTTTAAGCAAACATTCAGCTGTTTGCTGATGTCATACTACGGCTGAATCTGATTGGCTGCTTCAGGATTTACACACAATTTGAGCTTTTAGACAATGTTTTGCTCCTGTTAGCTTCGAGCTTAGCTTTAGCTTTTTGTAATTTTCATCCAGTCAGAACAGTAAAACCAAAACTGATTTTTTTTAATTAAACACAGCGCTGTGGACATACACCCAAAAACACACACACACACACACACACACACACACACACACACACACACAC